CGTAAGCGGAAAGCGGGTGCACGTGGCCCTGCTTGCCGACACTTGGCCAGGCCTTCCCCCCTTTTGCACAACTGATCTGCCGCCGTGCCCGCACGCGCCGCCCGCCCACGGGCTGCATTGGCCCGCGGGGCGAGCCGGGCCGGAACGAGGCCGCCCGCCGTCATGCTTTCCCTGGCGCGTGAGGCCACGGTCGGGTGTATCGCAGAGGCAGGGTCATCCCAGGGCGGGGTTTGGGCACGAGCCCGGCTGGATGTGCACCTTTTGTTTGTCTCCAGGCGCCGGTTAAGAGGATGTTCCTCCAGCTCCACCTCTGCACCGACGCCTTCCCCCCCCCCCCCCCCGAGGTCTGGACCTCTTCCCCGAGACCGGTTTTTCTTCCCAAGTGGTTTTTTGATGGCCCCGAGGCCCAGAACAGGCCCCCGGAAGCCGAAAACAGCGAAAAGCCTGCCGCTGTGATTTTTTCACAGCGCGAGGGGGTCTGGGTTCCTCGAGCTCCACCCCTGCCCCGACGCCCCCCCCTCCCCCGACAGGGGGAGGCGCCCGAGCGCGCGGGTCAGCAGGGTGCGTCGGTGGCTCGCAGAGGAGCGCAGGACGAGGGGAGAGCCGTAGACGCGCCAACGGCAATGCAGGTAACGGCGATGCAGGTTTCGGCAGGGTAGGTGGGACTGGTTCGTGGCCAAACCAATCGTAGGATATGCGGGTTCGCGCTTGCCTACACTTCCCTGCGTCGTTTTCGCTCGATACATTCGAGCATTTTTTCGGAGGGATCACCAGGATCTATACAAGGCCATACACCTGGGCCCATCCTGGCCAGGATCGGTGTTGGTGTATAGTTGGTGCCTTCCTACATTTGAAATGTAGGCAAGCGTGCGTCTTGACTTCCCACAAGTTTTTGTCCTGCGCGGGCCCGGGAGGCCCCTCGGAGGCCGCTCCGAGAGCGGCCTCCCGAGAGGGCCCCCGGGGCGGAGCCCGGAGCCCAGGCCCCCGCCTGCCAGGCCAACGCCCCCTGACCCCCATCGGGTGATGAGAACATCGGGGCGGGAGGTGGATCGACCTCCTACCCTCGGAGGGCACCAACTATACACCAACACCGATCCTGGCCCAGGATCACCCTGGGCCCAGGATCGGTGTATATGCCTTCTTGCCCAAGGCAGGAGGGCGTATACACCGATCCTGGGCCCAGGGTGATCCTGGCCAGGATCGGTGTTGGTGTATAGTTGGTGCCTTCCTATACCCTGACACGTCGATGAAGGCATTGGGCGTTGTCGGTTTGCGAGAGGGCGTCGCGGCCGTCCTCTTTGCGGGTCCAGGTCCGTCGGCTTCGGTCCCAGGCCGTTTTCGCTAAAGGGTGGTTTACCAAAGGGAGGTTTGTCCACCGCCGAATCAGGGCTGGAGGTCTTTCGCCATTTTCGGCCTCTGGGGGCCCGTGCCGGGCCTCGGGAGCGGCAACAAACGACTCAGGACGAGAAACCGGTCCCGGGGGAGTGGGTCGAGACCTCTGAGGGCCGACGCAGTGAAAGAATCATCACGTCAGGGGTTTGGGACTCTGGGCCTCCTAGATGGTGTCGGAGTAGATGGGGTCCGAGGATCGCGACGCGTCGCCGATGCATCGACGATGCAGCTCGATGTGGAGCCCGATTTTGTCCACGCCGACGTCGCCGATGCGTCGCCGACGTCGACGATGCGTCTCTTGTACATCACCGATGCATCGCCAATGCATCGCCCATGTATCGGCGATGCGGCGCGATCCTCCGACCCCACCTACTGCGACCCCACCCAGGAGGCCTCTAAACACAGGGCGAGGGGCGAGGGCGCGAAAACATTGTGACGAATGGCAGCTCGGCGAGGCGACCGAGCAAGGCCCCCTTTCTCTAGAGGATGCACGCCCCACCCCCCCGAGAGACCTTCTTGGAGGCCTCTGAGGCGGGGGGCCGATCGCTCCTGCCCCCTGCGTTCCGATGGCGGGTGTCCCCCGCGCCCCGCCCTCTGACCACAGCCAGTCTTTCCATTGGCCTCTGGGCCCCTCCCGTCGTCCCGGCCACAGCCCGTCTTCCGAGGCGCGTCGAGCCGAGGCGGGTGGAGCCAGGGCTGGACCCAAACGGTGTTTGGGCCATCTCGTGGGCGGTCCTGTTTTTCGTTTTTTGTTTCGCATGCCAGGCGAAGCGCAGGCAGAACGAGGAAGAACGAAGCAGAAGACGAACACAAACAGCACCGTTTGGGTTCAGCCCTGGCGGGAACCCCGAGGAGCACCCCCGGGGCCGTAGGCGACCCGAGGAGGAGGGGGGAGGAGGAGGAGAAGGAGGAGAGGAGGAGGAGGAGGAGGAGGATGAGGAGGGGAGGAGGAGGAGGGAGGAGGGAGGGGAGGGGGAGAGGAGGAGGAGAAGGAGGAGGAGAAGGAGGAGCAGGAGGAGGAGGAGGAGGAGAGGAGAGGAGGAGGAGGGAGGAGGAGGAGGGGGAGGAGGAGGAGGAGGAGAAGGAGTAGGAGACCTCTAAGCAAGACGACGGACAAAAATAACGACGACGTCGACGAGCCGCGGCGGAGGGCGGGGCGGGGAGGTGCGCCAGGGCGGCTGCGGCTACGTGGTCGCCTCGCCCTCCGCCTCGCCGCCGCCGCCGCCGTCGCTGCCCTGGTCGCCGCCGCCGCCGCCGTCGTCGTCGTCGTCGCCGTCGTCGCCGTCGTCGTCGCCGCCGCCGTCGTCGTCGTCGTCGTCGTCGTCGTCGTCGTCGTCGTCGTCGTCGTCGTCGTCGCCGTCCTCGCCGCGCCGGGCTGGCCGCACGCAGGGTGGGTCGGGGCCCTCGGCGCCTTCGCGAGGAGGGTTCGCCGAGTGCCGTGCGGTGCCCTGCGCCTCTGGGACCGTGTGAGCGTCGACGATCCTCGGGACGTGTGCTAGCCTCACGTGTGTTTGCTTCGTACAGGTCTGCCGATAGCACGCATCCCGTGTCGGTCCTCACTGCACCGCCTGGGTCGTATCGAAGGGCTTGGTGCACAAGCACACGGTAGTGCTCGCACAGGTTCTGAGGATCATCGACGCGGGGCACATGCGAGAGCGGCCCTTTTTCTGGGTTGGCGCGGACTTTTCACTGGTTCCTGAAGGTTTTTCTGCCTCGGGATGCGCTCCAGCAGCTGCGCCTCGCCGAGAGGGTGCTGGGGAGCGGCCGCTGGAGGCTTGCGTCCTGTACATGCGACGTCCTGATTTTTTTCCATACGGGGTCCCTGGAAGTCCCCACCCTTTCCCTGCGACTGGTTTTTCATCCCGAGTTGTTTTTCGACGGTCCCGAGGCCCGGCGAGGGCTCCCCGATGCCGAATACTGGCAAAAACCTCCCGTCCTGTTTTTTCTTACGACGCGGCCATGCCTGGGTGCGGACTCGGAGTCCAGACCCCGGAGGACGTCGGCTGCACGTGGGAGGGGCCCTTCGCCGCAGCGACCCGTGCTGTGCAGCTCGCGCGGGGGGGCCACGCCCCAGCACGCTGTGGCCGCCGCTGCCGCGCCGCAGGCAGCGATGGGCAAGCCGCGCAGCCAACGTCCGCTCTTGCCCAGGGCACGCTCTTGCGTGCAGCTGGTGCTGGCGGCGTGCACGGGGCGGATGAGGGGGAGGGGGACGGGGAGCAGGGGGAGGAGGAGGGGGAGGAGGAGGAGGAGGATGAGGAGGAGGAGGAGGAGGAGGAGGAGGGAGGAGGAGGAGGGGGAGGAGGAGGAGGAGGAGGAGGGGGAGGAGGAGGAGGAGGAGGAGGAGAGAGGAGGAGGAGGAGGAGGAGGAGGAGGAGGAGGAGGAGGAGGCGGAGGGCGAGGAGGAGGGAGGAGGAGGAGGAGGCGGAGGAGGAGGAGGAGGAGGAGGAGGAGGAGGAGGAGGAGGAGGAGGAGGAGGAGGAGGAGGAGGAGGAGGAGGAGTAGGAGGAGGAGGAGGAGGAGGGAGGAGGAGGAGGAGGTGGAGGAGGAGGAGGAGGAGGCGGAGGAGGAGGAGGGAGGAGGAGGAGGAGGAGGAGGAGGGGAGGCGGAGGAGGAGGAGGAGGAGGAGGAGGCGGAGGAGGCGGAGGAGGCGGAGGAGGCGGAGGAGGAGGAGGAGGAGGCGGAGGAGGAGGAGGAGGAGGAGGAGGAGGAATAATAATAATAAGACGAAAACTAATAATACGAAGAAGAAGAAATCGACTAATAATAATGATGAGACTACGAATAGGAATACTAATACTAATAATAATAATGATAATAATACTAATAAGAATAATAAGAAAACTAAGATGAATAATCATACTACTAATAATAATACGAAGAAGAAAATAAGACGAAGCATAAGCATACTAATACTAAGGAAAATAAGAAGACTAAGAATCATACAAATAAGGCTAACACTACTAACAATAAGACTAATACGACTACTATTAAGACTAATAGTACGAAGAAGAACCATAATACTAATATCATGAACAGTAACAATAATAATACTAATAATACTAGTAATAATGATAAGAATAATCTCATACGAATACGAACAATACTACTACTACTACTAATAATAAGACGAATAATACTACTAATACAAATAGTAATACTAATAATACTAAGAATACGAATAAGAATGCGAATACTCATCATACTAATGATAAGAAGAAACAGAATAATAATAACAACAATAATAATAATGATAATAATAATAATAACAATAATAATAATAATAATACTACTAATAATAATAATATTAATAATAAGAATAAGAATAAGAATAAAAATATAGGAGGAGGAGGAGGAGGAGGAGGAGGAGGAGGAGGAGGAGGAGGAGGAGGAGGAGGAGGGGGAGGGGGAGGAGGAGGGGGAGGGAGGATGAATAATAATAATAATAGTAGTAGTAGTAATAATAATAATAATAACAATATTATTATTATTATTATAAATAATAGTAATAATAATGATAATGGAAATACTAATAATAATAGTAGTAATAATCATAAGGAGAATCATAATGAAAAGAAGAAGAATACGAGTAAGAAGAAGCCGAGGAGGAG